TAAACTTCTACACTATGATATAGGGCTATTGAATTACTTGCGCAGCAAATTAGTAGTTACGCAAATTCTACGGGCTTCGTATTTGATTCATATTTTGATAATGATCAAAAGTATGTCTAGATTTTTAAGATGGAAAACTGAACTTATCTGCGTTAAATCTTCCACAAATCCTATATTTAGATACAATTACACTAATGTTTATCACTTTATATCTGTAATTTCGAACTGAAACATAATTATTTAATATCAAATAGAGGTATAAATGTTTGCCCAATATGGCGGATGGTTGTGTATAATCATGGCATCGTCCATGTTGTCTTTAGGTTATTAGAATATTTTGGTGTTGCCTGCAGGTGTTATACGGGTGAATATCAGTTTTTCGGGAATTCAATGTTCCTGCAAAAAAATCTTAATCCAATGGACAAATTGTGGAAATAGACCATTCAAATAGTGGAAGATGTCAATCTTTATTTGGAACATATGGCGAAATTGAGGTAACCATTAAGATTTAGGAAAAATCTGATTGAAAGTTAACAAAATGTATACTCCCCTGGCATGTTCCATTCCCAAATTGCACTGCAAACATCAACAAATCTCTGTATTATGTACTGGTATAACAATAAGCGGATACTCTTTGTATTACCTAATACAACTGATAACATATTTTCGCAAAAAGGCACACTAAAAATATACATAAATGCGTAAAAAATCCCGTTTATTAGTGGTTCCTGAGAACAGTGTCACCCTCACCTGGCGCAATTCAAATTGCATATATTCATCAAAATATGGCAACTATGCGACTTGACCTTGAGCAGCAAGTAGCAAATGAAGAAGGGATAGTGGGAAACTATCGTAATTTGGAAAACGAAGACCAGGGACGCGTCAGTAGCCCACTAACAGTCGTCCGATACCCCTTTGCCAGTGAGTGAAGCATTTCCCCTGGTAAGCATATCTTTGTGAATTTAAAAGTTACATTTTTGCGACTTTATAAAAAATTAAGATTTTTGAATACAAAAGCCATGAATCACGTTAAAATAATATAATAATCAACATATCTTGCTTTTTTGGGGCTTACGCACGTTTTTGTCACTTCCCTGGCGTCACTCCCCTGGCAGTTTTTATGTCAGGGGGAATACACACTGCCCAGGGGAAATACAAAGGCACCTTTTTGTATAAGATGTGTAGCTACTATACCAAATTCAACTTCAAGAGGCAGTAGATCTGAAATAGGTCAGGCATGAGGGGCCGGGCCAGACGCCTAGGGCCGTATTCAGTGCTCAAACGCTCAGTGTCAGTGTTCATACCAATCTGTTACATCAATCAGCGGGCTGCACCTAAGAAGTTGCCTGGCCCAGTTTACGGCTCTGAGCGGCCTGCTTCCTGCTCTTGAAGTTGAATGTGGTATAGACACTATTTCATTAATTTCAGGTACCAAAAAAACCATAACTCGCTAAAATGGCAAAATTATAAAAAAGCAAACCCAAGATTGGAGAAAAAACGCCAAGCAGAAAGACCACGCGACCAGAGAATTAAAAATGATCCAATCAAGAATGCTGAGTTAAAAGAATAAGAAAAAGAGAAGCATCACAGAAAGAAGGAGAAAGTATAAGTTAGAAGTATAAAAGATCTGACAGATAGGGAACAGCGAGCTATGAGAAAGATATGGAGAGAGCAAACTGAAAGATATAGGGATCGTGTGAGGCAAAAAACTATTGTTAATTATCCAGAGTCACCGCCGCCTTCGGACCATGAAGATCCACACTTCGATCCTCAAATATTGGACAATAGAGCTTCAGGTGCCAATAGACCCTCAGAAAAAAAGAGGAAACGAATAAATGAGTTTATCAAAAAACAAAAAAACGAAATTGATCGATTAAAAAACAAGGTGAAGAGATTTCGAAGGAAACTAGATCACGTAAGTCTAAAAATGTCACCAAAGTCGAAAGTGGACCGATTACTAAAAAAAAAAAAACGAAACCAAGTAATCAGGAGAACGTGGAAGAAGTTAAAAAGCATCTGCCATTCAGTAATGTACTTCAAAATCAACTAAAAGAAAATGTAACGCTTACCAAAAAGAAAAATGAGAAGACACTGTTTCGTAAAGTATTGAGTGGTAGGTTTGTTAGAAAGTACAATGTTTTAAGTCAAATTAATATGAAGCCTGTGAAACGATAACCCACTGTGGGAGAGGTTTGATAGACGTGACAAGGAGAACAAGAATGAATGAAACTAGAGAGAATATAAAGAACGTAATTAAAATTTTTTTTGAAGGAGACTGCAACAGTCGCTTATGACCAGGAAAAAATGACTACATTACGAAAAACAAAGTAAAAAACAAAAGAGGGTTTTACTAGACTCTATGAAGAATTTACACGCACGGTTCGTTAAAACCAAAGGAGTGCCGATAAGTTATACTTCATTTTAACGTTTGAGACCTTTTTGGATTGTATATCCAAACGTTCATAGAAGATAAACATGCTTGTGTGTAATTCATGTAAATATGGAGTTGATTTTGCTCTCTTTAAGAAGAACGAAAATTAAGGCTTTATGAGTTTTCAAGCAATGCTAAATTACTTATGTTTCTATCGCAAATATAGTAATGAGAGGAGATAGATTATTTTATAAATTCAGAACTCCTATACCTGTATTCGAAAAATGAGTATCTACTCGAATTCATAAAAAATCGGGTTATACCTATGTTAATTTTATTTTTATGCTAGCTACCATTTTTTATTTATAAGCACTGATTGCGATTCATAAGTATTATGTCAATTTTTTGTTTTAAGTTTTTATAATTTTATTTCTATTATTATTATTATTATTATTATTATTATTATTACTCAGGTACCTACATTGCTATCTATATTAAGTTGCAAGATATAAACAGCTATAGTGGTTTTTATTTATATTAGTTCTTGTGTGAGCAGGGTTCACTCAGTTGATCCAAATGTTATTTTTTAAGAGACTAATAGAACATGTAGGATTTTGTTATTTTCAATAAAAAACTATTGAACTTATTTACCTATTGGTATTTGTAATCTTTTATAAAGTGTCCTTTAAGATCATTCACATGAGAAGTTGTCACTCTTCTGTCTCAGTTTGTCACTACCCTGTGTATAGTGTCACTCTCCTGACTACACATTTTCCCCTGGTAGCTGTAAAATCTCTAAAAATCAAAAAACTATCTGGTCCTGTCAAAGATGCATCACAAATAGTATAATCTTAAGAGGTAATGAATATGAAACTGAAATGAGTAATTTTTCTGAGGTACCACTAAAAACCCAAATACCTGATATTCACCCATACAACAATTTGACAAATGTTTGAAATACCGACAGAGTCGAATGATACACCCAGAATTTGTACCAGATCTACATTTTCTGTTTGAACAGTTGATAAAACATTTTGAACCAATATGCATGCGTTGTTTGTCTTAAAACATTGGTTATGGCATTTTAACTAAAATATGACAGCAGAAAGTTAGTTTATGGTAAAGTTGTATACCAACATATTTAGCAGTTACTAAACAACAGTTGTATAAGTGCTTCTGTTGGGAGCAATTTGTTGGCTAAAGTAGTAAATTTGCACAGCAAAACAACAAGGTTCGGGTTTGTTTTATAAACGTTACCATGGATGCCACAACACAACCATTTTGACTAACCATCAAATATGCCGTATAAAATACGAGTAGTTGTATAAACGTTTATGCATCAGTTAAAAATTTGTCCTATAAGGTGTTGTGCAACTATTTTAAACACCTCATGTTAGAGAAAATATGTTGCAGAAAGCAAATTTGCATTCCACTTAACATTAATCCAGCATCTTGGTGTTCAGGCAACAATAATAGAGAGCTTTTATGGCTGAACGGTTCTTTTACCAAAAGCTTATAGCACTACTTTGCTAGTTGGGCCATGATTTATATTACGGAGTACTTTATCGTCGTTATTTATGAATATACGTCAAATATTGGCAACAGTATGCAACAAGTCCAAAACATGAGTACCATCTTCCTTAAATTTTCTAGTGACTAATATCTTAGGGATTATTATGATTATCAATATCCATGATTATTGAACGACCAAAGACATCAACGAAAAAGAGTCAAACATAAGGATAAGCTTGATTTACATGAATATGAAATATATTAATATCCAGCAAGAAATGACAACGATATGCAACAAGTCCAAAACATGAATACTTAAAACCAACAAGATGTTGAGCTTATATATATATATATATATTAGGAGTAATATCAGCTAACGAAATTTAAAAAAATGGATCTACGATGTCAAAAAGTTACAATGCTTCCTCAAAATGCGAAACAACACTGACAACACGAACGAAATGAGTGTTTACAGTTATTTCCAGCGGCTTTGTAACACTGTTCGTTTTCTTTCGTTTTTTTTACCTTACACTAGAGAATACTCCGAGTTGTTTCTTATTATTAATCAAAGTTTTCATGTTTTCGCCATGGTCTCTAAGTTCTCATTTATTTTTTATTCTTCCCAACGGTTTTTAGAGTGTAATATGTTTTGTCCAGGACATCTTCAAATCACTTCAGTGCATCCGCATCTTGGATGCTTCTATTTTGTGTATTGTGCCTTCATGTAGAATCTAATATTTTACACCACTCAATAGAACACAGAAGATATAGCACTTTAGAAGTATCTCTTTAGTAGCTGTTTACCTTTTCTAGTCACTCAGATCAAATGGGCAAAACTGAAAGTCTAATCAAAAATCACAGATACAAATTGAGCCAACACCGACTGTTTCCAGGCAGACTGTTTTTGAATAATTATTATCTACCTTTTTGATAACGAAATGCTTCAGAAAATCCATGGACCAACGTATCTGGTATCTAGACGTGCTCATCACTTAATCATAAACCTAGAAAATTTGAATTCTTCCATAAATTATGAACATTATTTGCTTTTGATAGGATTTCGGAGTAGAATCCTTATTCCACAAAATTTACGTTTTGGTAAAAGTTTTTGACATACATTGTTTGTCAGATCTGCTCTACTGAACGATAGAATTTCTATCAAGCTAATCAAAATAAAATTGAAAAACTGACCGAAAACTTTGGACCACTGCGCCGGCGGCCTCCAATCAGGATAGTGCTTGGGGAAGGTGTCCCTGGACCAGAAAGTGTGCAGGACCATCTTGTAGACAGTCAATTTGTCCGGTTGGCAAGGTTCCCCGGGGTCCAGCGGAGCGGCACTCGCGCACACCAGCAGGAAGCACAACATCGCCGCGGCGCGGAGGACACAGCGGAAGGACATCGTGGACATCGTCGCCGTCGTGGTTTGGCTCGGGTACGGCGTCCTGGGGCTCGCGGATCTACACCGACGGCGCATCGCGGACTGACTGATCGGAGGCGGCGAAGCTTCGGCCGATCGGGCTGCCGGGACGCCGCGGTGTTGGCGGTGGCGCGGTGAACACCTCTGGAACGGTAAGATGGTTACCGGGGGGGTTGTCGCATTCACCACTTTTCTAGTTTGGAAGCGTTTGCTGGCGAGAAATTATTGTAATTTCGAAAGTTAGATTTACGTTTTTTGGATGTTATATGACATCTAATTTGGGCTGACAGAGGGTAAAAGTCGCTTCAAAATGTAGTAACCTCAAAATACTCTTCGGAGTCTTTCAAAGCAAGGTTAAGTCTCTAATCCTTGGTGTTGTTTTTGATGCAAAGTTAAGGTTTATTGAGCATGTTAAAAGTCTTCGACAGAAAATCTACCTAAGGCCACGTACCCTTATGGCAAATGGGTATCAGTATAAGTTAGATCAGGTTTTTTGCTAACTAGCAAAGTAGTGCTATAAGTTCTTGGTAAAAGAACAGTTGAGCCATAAAAGATCTCTGCTGTTGTTGCCTGAACACCAAAATGCTGGCTTAATGTTGTGTGGAATGCAAATTTGCTTTCTGGAAGATATTTGCTCTAAAATGAGGTGTTTAAAATATTCTTATAGCATAGTAATACAACTCCTTATAGGAAAATTTTTTAACTGTTGCATAAACGTTTATACAACTATTTTATTCAGCATAGTCAAAATGGTTGTGTTGTGGCATCCATGGTAAAGTTTATACAACAAACACGAGCCTTTTTGTTTTGCTGTGAAAATTCACTACTTTAGCCAACAAATTGCTCCCAACTGTTGTTTAGTAACTGTTGAAGGCTGTACATCTGCAACAACAGTACAACTTTTGTAGTACAAAATTGCTGTGCTCGGCATACATTTGTTGCTAAATATGTTGGTATACAACTTCACCATAACCTAACTTTCTGCTGTTATATTTTTGTTAAAATGCCATAACCAATGTTTTAAGACAAACAACGCATGAATATTGGTTCATAAGGTTTTATCAACTGTTCAAACAGAAGATATAGATCTGGTACAAATTCTGGGTTAATCATTCGACTCTGTCGGTATTTCATTTCAGATATTTGTTAAATTGTTGTATAGCACCTGCAGACAACACCAAAATATTCTAATAAACCAAAGACAACATGGACGATGCCATGATTATACATAACCACCCGCCATATTGGGCAAATATTTTCTCTATTTAGTATTAAATAATTATGTTTCAGTTCGAAATTACAGATATAAAGTGATAAACATTAGTGTAGTTGTGTCTAAATATATGTTTTGTGGAAGGTTTAACGGAGATGAGTTCAGTTTTCCATCTTAAAAATCTAGACATACTTTGATCATTATCTAAATATGAATCAAATACGAAGCCCATAGAAATTGCGTAACTACTTTGCACGATAATCACAATAAGATTTGCTGCGCAAGTAATTCAATAGCCCTATATCACAGTATAGAAGTTTATCATATGCCTGTGTATGAAATTCGCAATGGCCGATATGTAAGTAAACAAGATGACTGTAATGTGTTAGTTATATATTCTTCACTCCGTCTATACAATACATAAGAAATAGTTTGGTTGCAATAAAGTAGAATCACGTAACAGAATAGTTGTATAGTTGACAAAAACTGAATCTCGCACTGACGGACATGTCCTATAGCAGCTGCAAGAAGCTTACACTTTTGTTGTATATCTGTTACCTGCAGCCCTTATATAACCTCTTAAATGACTGAAGTGTCCTATTAGGTGTGCCCATTCCGCTTGTATAGCTGTTCTAAGAGGGTTTTGCCAATGTTCTTATATAGTCAACGCCAAACAAAGTGGCGTGCACGTCATCACGATAAAAATTCCCCGACCTAATGCCTAGGTTTCTATCACAAACAATTGCTCTATTGCAGTTTCATATTAATGTGATACATAAATTGTGAAATGGTCATTACTCTCTTATTATGGTTAATAGTCATATAAACATTGTTATTAAAATATCACATAAGTTGCTTTCTGATAAATTTAGACGCATTATGCGAAATAAAATGTTTTGCAAACGCTCCAATCACTTATCGACATGTAAACGCACTAAACCGATTTCGCAGCGTTGTCACATTGTCACCTTGAAACTTATTTAAACTGGGAACTGACATTTGTATTAATTTTGACACTGAATCAATTTGTGGCATTTCAAATCTTTATAAATCCTTTGGCCCCGCATACTGTAAATCAACAACTGTTTCAAAACAAAATTATTCATTTTACGAGTAGATAAAGGCAATTTTGGTATATAAAGATGCCCAAACAGTTAAATAGTCGGTGTAAGGAACTCGTGGCCTCGTTAATGCACTACTTTGAGCAAGAAAGGGACAACAACGGGCCTTTGTTGCCTTTAAATGCTGTTCAAGAGGTAGGTTACTAATAATTATATGTAATGTATATTAATAATAGTGAAATTTTATTTCATTTTTTGTAGCGTGTTGCTGCTGCTTTAAAAATTAGTTTAAGGACAGTTAGTCGTATTTCCGAGGGTGTGAAAAGTGATGCAAATTTAGAATCGCCCAAGAAAAAGCGGAGTTATATTAAACGTGTAACCAACACAGCGACATTGGATACAAGTGCCATTCGAGAAGTGATCTATAATATGTATCACAAAAGTAAGATCTTATTATAATAACTTATCAGAAATTTGCATTAATTTGTTAACTAAATTATAATGTCATATTACACATGGTTTCAGAAGAACAAGTTACGATACAAACTTTATGGTCTCGATTAAGGGATAGGGCATTATTTGATGGTAGTGCCACGTCTTTAAGGCGGTTGCTTAGAGATCTTGGATTTAAGTGGCTTAAGGACAATCCGCGACGAGGGCTCATGGAACTACTAAGTATAGCTTTGAAAAGGGTGGAATTTCTAAGGCAATACAATCAAGCCAAGGTTGAGGCCTTATACCAGTTTGTCTTCCTCGATGAAACTTGGATATTTCAAAATGGGACCATAGGTCGCTCTTGGCAAAATGGAAACCAAAAAAGCGTGAAAGCTATTAAAACAGATGGTAAAAGGTATGTACTTTTACACAATTTGCACTATAAAATTTAAAACTAATATATTTTAGATACATTATATTACATGCTGGAAATGAAAATGGGTTTATTGAGGGTAGTGAAGCGATATTTTCTTCGAAAACAAAATTGAGCGATTACCATGGAGAGATGAACCAGGACAATTTTTTGAAATGGTTTCAACATCAGTTATTAGAAAAATTGGAGAGTCCATCTATGATTATACTGGATAACGCCCCTTATCACAGCATGATATTGAACAAAGTGCCCAACAATGCATGGACAAAAAAAAATATCCAAGACTGGTTGACAAATCAAAACATACCATTTTTAAACACAATGTTTAAAACAGAGCTATTGAGTATTGTTGCTCGGTACATAATGCTTCTTAATTATATATATTTTGGTCGACAGTTTATATTTCTTTTGTTTATTCCTATTCTTAAAATAACTGCTTTTTTAGAAACAAACCACCTAAAATATACGTGATTGATGAATTGGCGGAACAACATGGGCACAAAGTTCTTCGTCTGCCTCCTTACCATTGTATATTTAACCCTATTGAGTTAATTTGGGGCATAGCAAAAGGTTACTATAACAGACATATTGGTAGAGATGGTAACAGTGAAAAAGACTGTTTGGATATGTGGAGCGAGGCTCTACAAACGGTTACCCCAGACATGTGGAAAAATAGTGTTCGACATACTGAGCAAGAAATTTTTAAATGGTATGAAAGAGAACGAATTTTTGATCGACCAGACATCGAACCTTTAATAATCAACTTTGAGAGTGATGAAGATTCAGATTCAGACAGCGCTGAAGAAAGAAACTCCGACTAACTTCATTATACAGAAAAAGCTTACACCAGTAGCTTACCTAATTTTAGAATGCATTTTTCTGTATGAATTCTGTAAAATAAATACCATGCATAAAATTTGGAGGACCCCATTTGGATTTTTATTCAGTACCTTTAAGCTATCAATTAAATATGGTAGTTTCATAGTGTCATCTGATCAATAATTGTCATACTTAATGATTATGCAAGTACAGATCTATAATTTTATTATACTATTATTTTTGTTCTCATTTGAGGTTAATATTGCTTATAAACCTAGATATGTAAATAATAAATTTTATTATTTTACAAAAAGTTTGGCAACAATGTAAATTTTTCAACACACCCACCTTGATGACGTGCACGCCACTTTGTTTGGCGTTGACTATAGTATACAATGCTTTGTAAGGAATACTGTATAATCATTCTTGCAACTGTAATAGGAATGATAATTGTTAGCTGGGTTGTGAGTGCATCAATAATGATCATCCACTGCGACTCTTTGGTCTATTGTGGCTCGCACCTATTTATATTTCCCCCAGTAGCTCCGAACTCCTGAGGAAGTCGATCAACTTGTTTGGAGAAATATCCTCCAGGTCTTCTGCAGCTACGTCTGCAAACGGGCATTAAGTAAGTTTTAAATTGCGTGAAGGACTATGTGTGTCATATCAACAGGGTGTTTGGAACATGAACCAACAAAATTGTTTGGGCGGTTGGGGACGCTATTTGATGATTTTTTATGAAAACCGCAATGCTCTAAGCTAGTGGTCACCTACCCGCCGACTGCGAGCTACTGATAGCTCCCAAAGGCAATTCTGGTGGCAATCGATAAAAGTAAGGCTGCAACTGAAGCATCATACCGGGTGTCCCAGATAATTTCCCATAAGAAGAAACCTTATGAAGCTGCAAATACATTATTTGCCAACTTTAGAAATAAATACGAGATAGTGTCTGCTATAAAATCTATGCAACTTTCTGCTAATACAGTGCTGAGACAATTAGAAGTAATGAGCAATGATATAGTTGTACAATTAAGAGAAGACTTCGATAACTGTGTTTATTTTTGACTGCAGCTGCATAG